ATTTGAGTCGGATCTGAGGTCAAATCCGACACATTCCATACACCCTTAGGTCTATTTGAGTCGGATCTGAGGTCAAATCCGACACAAATCCTACACTCTGTACAGACTGGTTTTGGTTTGTGGGTCAAACCTGTGTGTGACTTACATATAATGCGTGTTTGAATCGGATTGGGGAGTGCTTGCCACCCAAATGGCTTCGGTCACATCACCAATGGCCTTCAGCCACCGATCATGCCCTGCAGAATGGGTCTGATCCAAGGTCACTTTGGACACATGTGACCCAAAAGTCAAAGTTCGGGATAACCATCTGACTGATATACACACCATTGTATACGCCTTAAACGGTACTGCCGCACCCAAATTTTTGCTATGTTGGAACCTTGTTTGCTCTTGCGTTCCCAGAACTTTGGTTGCCTTGAAGATATCGCATCCCTGCTTGTGTTCACAGCGCTCACCATAAGGCAAAAAGTAACACACAAAACAAATAAAACCCCAACAGTGTTCTCTCACCCAAAATGAATCACCAACAAATCAAGCTGATTGGATATTATATTCAAACCCCCAGCACATCCTCATGGGCTCCTTAGGGGGGGTCTTTGGCTTGTCAAAGCTTTAGGTGATGACATTTCCAAGCCACTGTGCCCCTACAGGCTCTACCGGTTTCTTCTACCCTTTCGCTTTGGGAGGGGTTTAACAGCCGCATCAGCCTTCTTGATGGCTGTGCGGCAAATCTTGAGGGCTTGGCCCCAAGGCACCCCTTGTGCCCAGGCATTTGCAGCAGATTGAAGCACTATTCGCTTCCTCGCCAAACCCACATAGTGTTCTACGTGTCTTCGATCTGGCCTTGCGCTGGCCAACCTCAAAATTGGATTGAAAGTCAAGCACATACAGAAAGGCGTCTTCTTGTCAAATGTGATGGGGGTAGGCAACCAAACTGTTGAAACGCCCAACTCAGCAGGGCGCCAAAAAAGCACGCCTGGTGTGGTCCACAATGGTCCACACAAAATGCTTTGTTTGAATCCACATAAGAAACAAACTCGTCAACCAAGAAGCGAGAGTTGATTTGGAGCGGGTTCCAAATTTTGGACTGCTGGACCATTCTGGCAGTAGGAAGCTCCCAAAGTCATCCTCACAGTCACTGTATGTTTGCACACTGGGAAGCCATCTTCCAGGTGGACTGGCCCATGCAGAAAAGCACCCACCCCGCCCGAACTCAAATTCTCCACTTTCAAAAACCTGAGTCTTGTGGATATTATGGAGGACTACTGAACTGACACAAAATGCTGCAACGGTTCGCACGAACTTCCAGCAGCTGCTCCAAGGGTAGCTCGCCCATGGCCCAGGCATGCAAGTAGTCAGCACCAGCATCTAATCCCAAAGCCCTCATAACTGGCAAGTGCTTGATGATGTCCTTCTTGACGTCTTCACTGATTGGGTTTCGAGGGGCGATGCCTGCAAGCACTGTGAACAAACAAAACACACGGCATATTGTTCTTCCTGTTCATTATTCTTTGTTGGTTACATCACCAAGTTTGCAAAGGCCTTCACGACTAGTAGCTTGGAGGCCATCCCTAGTAGCTTGGAGGCCATGGCTATTACCAACAAAGAACATGGTTTGTGAAATCGCTGGACTCTAGAGGCTGTCCTGCCGGTAGCCCACGAGGCAAACGAATCTTGGCTACTTCGAAAGGCACATAAAGCAAACAAAACGTGTACTGCTCATCAGCCATGTTGTGCTTTGTCCTGAGCAAGAGGGCCACACTGAAAGACTGGGTTTTCCTGTGTTCCTCGTATTTTTGACATTTGCTGGAAGCCTGCAATCATTGTGGATTAAGACTGAAACAGCTGCTGATTTTCCAACATTTGCACAGTGGCCTGATGAAGACATCATGCCGGTGAGGCTGCAATTGCCAGAAAGGATCCACAGCTTCGGATAAAGCTTGGGGGCCTTGTGCATCAACACCACAACTCAATGCACTGAATCCTTTCCCTTCTTCAAACTCATATGAATAACCATGAATGACACTAAATTGTTTGGCCCTGGGTTTCACAGCACACACAAAGAATCAGGAAGAAGTACCAACCTGGCCTAAATCATCACGTCTGTCCAGTTCAAAAACGTGAGGAGCACGTGGTCCTCCTATCCCTCTCAATTGCACCGGAATCCCGATGCTGAGGAACGCTTGCCTTGAGAGACAGAAAGGGGAGCACACATGAAGGCTTTACACTAGGATGGGTATTGAAGCGTGATCAGGAGGGTGCAAATGACAACGAAATATTCAACATCACCAAGAACCCAGTCACGGCACTGATCCAAAAGAACTGCATGTCTTCCTGGTTCATGGGGTCGGTCTAAGCGCGTAGTCATCCATGCGTGAATTGAGGGCCTGTCACATTGCGAGCATGCCTGCTGATGTAGGATGCTAGGCGCCCAAATAGCTGATCCACATCTTCATGGGAATGCCCGCCCAATCACTCCTGATGGGCCCGAGATAAGATGATCCATACTTCCAACAAGCTTTATATGGTACATATTGAATTGTCTCTTTTGGCATTCCGGAAATGAATCAGCATCCATCCCTTAATGGTGTGTTTGGTTTCCCTTGTCACAAGGCCAGCTTCCAATTTCCAGCTCTAAACACGCTTATTTTGTGTTCAGTCCGCTTCAAAACAAAAACATGAAGGACAAGGTTGTTAATTTCAAACTTAGACTAGAAACGCTGTCATAACATCACGCGCTAAACACAAACCACATGGTCATTTTCCCCTCTCGCCTACAAGGCATTGTTTCTCATGAACCTGTTATTATGAGTTGGCAACGCCACACTTATTATCAAAAAGCCTGCTGCTTGAAGTTTGCATTTCCTGGCTTTCAAGTGACCATATACAAGCCACTAAGAACAATGATGGCAAATGCTAGAAAGAATGTAGAATAGGTTGATACGGTTCTAACGCCATCCTTAAATCGCTGCCACAAACCACTTCAGTGAGCCGAGCCACCATGAGCCACCAGTGATGCCAGCCATCGGAGGCAATGATTGTTTTTGATTTCGCGCGGGGTGTTGTCACATTGTACGCTTATTGTCATTTGGCGGAGATCTGTGTCTTGTGAAAGTAGGTGGAGTGCGTGTGCTGCGATTTCAATGGATGCGTTGGCATCTTTGGGGAGGTCGGCTGGTGACACCGTCATCAATACAAACCTGCCGTGGCAAATACAGCCTGTGATATGTGCCCGTGGACGGCTCAGCCCTTGCAGTTCTTTAGAGGCAAAGACATTGCTGCGAGGATAGGCAAATTTTGCCTGGTCCATGCCATCGATGATTAGCAAAACATCGAATGGACTCCTCAAACGGGAACTTCCTCGGAGCTGCCAATAGCAAAGTCGGTCGTTGTATTGAGACCTCAAGTGCTCCACATAGAGGTTGATCTGTTGCTGCCTTGCGTTGAGGTGGCCTGCCAAGCCACGGATAATGAGTTTATGTCGAAGGCATGTGCCGCATTGCCCATGGGAGGAGGAAGATCGAAATCTGAGGAACGGAAATTCCTGGTGCCACACGCGCCAGAACGTAGAAAATGCGACGTGTTTTTCATTGGCGCCTAGTTCCTCCGAAACCTTCATTTGTTCCCAGAAGTCACGTATGTGACCTGGAGGTAGGAATCGTTCTTCCTGGGCATGTTTTCGACTGACATTGAATTCGACCGACATCTTGTGCTTTCGAACTTTGGACATCCCTGCGTTGCTTGTGGCTTCAGGAATGTGGATGGATCCCAGGGCCGCAGCATATGGGTCATTGGTTTCTGGTAAATCAATCGTTACAGCAGAAGTGTCAAAGTCACAGGTCTCATCCTTTACGTCTGGCAAAGTTTCAGCAATGCTGTCGTAGACTCCTTGTAAAAAGGAAATGATTCTCTGCCTGCTGGTGTCAGTGCTCTTCTCACTTTTTGACGGCACCCCGCGTTGCAGGTACCGCAAATCAATTGGTGTGGCACTGTGTCGCCCTGCTTTGCAGCTTTCATCAAACGTCCAAATCGCCGAGAACCTTGGGGACTCGCTGCTAATAAAACGATCCTAAAGCTAAAAGCCTAGTTGACATTAATTTTGAAAACATGTTGGGATTCCTTTATGATTGAAAAGAAGGCGCACACACACACACACTGATCCCGCTCTTAGCTTAATCAAGTTTAGAAGCTCTTGACCAGGGTCTAGAATTTGAACCAGCAAGAGCCCCAAGCCAAGGCAACAATTAATCATTCCCTGACACTCCATCCTTGTCTTGTTGGTAATTGGGGCGCAGCAAAGCGGCTGGCAGTAAATGTTTGTGCGCTAGGCTGGTTGCAGTTTGTTCGACAGCCGCTCAAGCCCACAATGTAGTAAGGTCGCCCAATGATCCCGAATGTTTGCTGGTACATACAATGTGGTGTGGTGGGGATGTGAGATTACACAAGGCACAACCGCACACACAGCTGACACAATTTCACATCTCATTTCCAGTAGCACTAAACAACAACAACAACAACAACAACAACAACAACAACAACAACAACAACAGCCCTCACAGAATTTCACACCTCTTGCGCACAATCCAGCGAACCAAGCCCATGAAGGCGTTTCCAAGCTGCCACACAAACTTTCCTCTGAAGAAACAACCACTGAGTCCTCCCAGACTCTCCATGGGATCTGCACGCTGCCCTGATTCTTTCGAAGGCCTGCAGTGCGGAAACCATGTCGACAATGGGAATGGGAACCAAAGGCCCTGGTTTCTCTTGGCAACTCACATACTTCCACAGTCTTGGATATAGTAGTACGTGGTTGTCTTCCACACTCCAAACAAAAATGTTCTTAATGTCTTTACTAAGAATCTTCCTGATCCTGGTCGAGCTTGTGCAGTTCTGACCAGCGAGAACGAAATTCCACAAGCTCCTTCACTGCAGAAGCCTCTGAAAAGGGGTTCAAGCACCCCTGACGGCAATGACATTTGGGATTCCCCCGCATTGCGCGGACATCTTTCTCCGTTGACACGGCCTGCAACTCAGGCTGGCTGCCATCTTGTTTCTGTTTCTTTCGTTTCTTGCCCTTACGGCATTGATCTTGACCTGGTAGCTCCTCATCCGAGCTAAGCTGGCAAACATCAGGAAAGACACCGTCTGGCGCGGCCATTAACAAGAAGCGGCTACAGCAATGTTGTCTGTTTTGAAACAATTAGGCCGGTGGTGCTAGCAAGGTTTGGAGATCATATCATGGAAGCGACTGCTTGCTGGGTAAAAGGCTTCACCACTTAATCTCTTCAGAAAACCTGCGCTTATTGACTAGGAAATAACAAGAAGGGTTTTGTATGGATTGGTTGATTGCTCAGACCTTCAATCACTTGCTGGCGCAGCTATGAAAAAAGCAACAGTCAAGTTCCAGGGCGACATGGCATTCAAACACATATCTGAGAACACTTGGAACTTTGATTCTTTGACAACTGGTGATCCATACTTAGACACCTTGAGATTCAGAACGCGCAGCTTGAGGTTGGTGCCCAGGCAGCACCACCAACTGTCCAATGAAGGCGGCCTCAAAAAATGGACTATTCAATCTTCAATCTTCCTGTGGAAATGGGGCAGCCGGCAAGGTTCATGAAAATACCAACTCCAATTTTTGAGCTCTCCACAAAGTCAAGCGATGGTAGGCCCTGTGTCACAGCAAGCGTCAGGCCTGGCGACGCGAAGCAAAAATTTCAAAGTGAGGACCGATTCCTTTGTAGCCATAAGGAAGCAATGAAAAACCCGTCCTTGGAAGCAACCCATTTCTTAGCTTTCTTGGCTTTCCTTGCTCCTCGCAGTTCAGGCTGCAAAACAACCCATGTTTGTGCCCCTCGGCAATGGTCATATGCAACTGGCACGTCGTACGTGATGGGTTCGGCCAAGCTCCAGCCATGGATAGTTTTGTATGGGACGTTGCTCGAGTCGGCGACATAGTGGCGATCACGGTACAGATGGAAGTTGGCACGATCTATGACAAAGGAGTCCACAATCTTGACTTGGCCAAACACTTTCCCAGTGCCCGACTTGATCAAGCCAATCACACCACGCTTTTTGGTGCTCTTACCACGTATCTCCAGTGTCTTCAGACCAAGAAGCACTAGCTGCAGCCATTTTTCTTTCAAGATTAATCCATGTGATGGCAACGCCATGGCTTTAAAGAGGCTTGGATTGATCACCTATAACTGTGACCACAAAATGAGCTGAAATTTTTGCATCAATTCCAGGAACAAAATTCACAGCTGTCCTTCCTGCCGTTTTGTGCCTGTCTGGCGCGATACACCAACATACAGAAATCAAGCGTAAGCGTCTCTTGTTCCTTTCCCCTGCCGGCAAGAGTCATCCAAAGAAAGCGGTATGTGCATCAATGGAAGCAAACGTTGACTCCTGTTTTCCTATACATGCCACAACAGCAACAAATTGGGGTCACACCGGGTGTTGTCCCTCAAGTAAAACTGGAAGCAACAGTTGGATAGCAAAATCTGCCCCTTCCCACACCAAACCAAACAAGGAAATACAACAGGCTGACACCAAAGATCAAGATTGAAACTGCTCCCAAAGGAACGGGTCCTCGCCAGCCTCACAGACTTGGCAAGCTCACAGAAACTTTGCATGAGTTCACAAAACATCAGCGACATCCAATGATCGAAAAAAACATTGGGGCTGCGGCGTGAAAGGCGAGCAGCGACAAGACGGTCACAGCTCAAACACTACACCGCCACACAGCTGCACAGCTACTGATCATGACACTATGCCCTTGTCAGGCCATCTCTGCCACATGTTGGGTTGAATTTGTTAAGGGGCTGTTTGCAGCTGATTCACCTTTCAAGAAATCAGGGCAGGACCTGACAAAATGCACCAAATTTTAATCGAATTATCACCGGAGCTGGCGAGCAAGGTGGGCATGAGCCCTACATGGACAAACAAATCGGCTGGAAGCTTGTTTTGTCTTTAAGGTCATTAAAATCGCTGTTTCATGATTCAGCTCTAAAGTCTAATGGGCTGAATGCATCACACCACCTAGCAGCTTCGGAGCAATGTCTGCATTTCAGACAATGAACTGAGCGCCTTCTTGGCTTGCAAAGGGACAACGATGTTGCCCATGGTTCTTAACCTACTTGCATCCTCAACTGTCTCGGTGTCTTGCAACCAATTACACAACG